TCTTTCATATAAGATCTATTGTGCACCTCACCATCATTATTTAATTTGTCCTAACACTGGTGCTGAAACCCAGAAAGGGTCTCTCCTGGTTTTTCCGGGAACCCTTTTGGACCCCTTCTATTGGACAATGGATGGCTACAACAGATTTTTTCTCATCTATCTACCCTAACCACCTGTGCCTAAAAATCTTTTTCTTTCAACTACCCTTATGTGCACACCGGCTCAAGGCTGCTCCCCGTGGCTCCTCGCCACAGCTGCTCAGCTGTTTAGGTGCCCCGAGCCGCAGGGGCTCAGACGGTGCCAAAATCGGCTTCAGACAGACGCAGCCCGCGTCTAGGTATGCCCACACAAATGGCTTTGGACTGCACCACTGCCTCAGGCTCCGCAGGCGAGATTGTACATTTCCTGCAGAACGCCCGCCCGCCACCATGTTGGTTTTGGGAAGAGGAGGGTGGAACCATGGCTTGCCTGCCGTCTCCACATGGTTTCACGGGCATCTTAACTTAGGGCAATTCTGCCCCTCTCCTTTCCTGCGAATGAGAGTCCCTCTGCGAGAACTCGGCCTCACGGCTGATAAAGCCCTGATACCCGGCACCAAGGTTCTCGGGCTTAGCCGGACTAAGCTCATGATCTGCCGTGCTATGGTCCGTTTCCATTTCCCCTTTCTCATTCACAGGAACAGCTTCCTCATAACTCTCCTCTTAGGAGAACCTATATTTGCCCCAGTCAAATGTTTAATATCCAGTAACACTAAGAGCTATCCCTGAAGCAAAGACTTGTCTGTTTCTCTCTGCCTGCTGTCCCACTAAATATACTCCAGTTTCTTTTTATACTCTCAAAAAATATTAAATTAAACAATTTTAATAATAACTAATTATCTGTTTATTTTATCTTCTTTTAGACCAGCACAGCAACAAGCCTCATTTTACATTGGTATGGATTTTTATAAAAATTCAAAGTTATGTTTTACAATATATATGATTCAACCCTGCTTCAAAATAAATTTTATATAATAATAAAATTTCAAAGTTATAAATGTCTATTCAAATTAAATTAATTTAAAATGTACTTCTAATTGCTTATGTCTTTTTCAATTCCTAAATTGAATAAACAGCATTTATTAATAATGCTGTTTCTTCTGCCACGAGCTGTCTATGCTCGAGATTCACCACTTGGCTTTCTGGCTAATTGGTTTGATAAAATAAATTCAAATGTAATTTTAAAACTGCTTTATACTGTTCTTCTATATTATTGGTTTTAAAGCTCATAACTCAGGGGTTGGTTACTACATACAGGTTTTTACCAATATTGTAAATTAAGATCTATTAATTTAGAGGCATTTATTCATTTATGTTAAAACTTGGTCATTATGCCATATCTTTACTATCAAAAAGTTAAAATATGCTTGGTCTTATTTTCCAAAAATGGTATATATATATATATATATATATATATATATATATATAATTATTATATAATATTATTATAGCCTTAGACTTTTATAAGCTATAAACTTTTCATATACTAAATCATACAAAAAACTGTTTTGCTCTCAAGTTAATGGACTATATTTATGGCTTTTAAGGCTTCAACTTAACAGGGACAAAACCTAAAGTCCTAATATTGAATGGTTAACAAATGCAAGTTAATAGTCATCTCATAGATTGTCAAGTTCTCTAACATGTTCAAAAATGTACTTATAGTCCTACAGATGCAAACATGGTCTCACTGCCATCTTTTATAAGCAGCTGAGGATAGTCATTGAGTTACCATACAGGAGTTGGTAAAAATAAGAAGAGAAGAACCTTCCCGACAGGCTCATCCAGAGCAAAAACTGTGCTCCAGACCTTGGCTGCTGCTTTGAGGCTGTTGGCATTCCCACAAAAAAAAAAAAAAAAAAAAAAAAAGTCTGCAATGTCCCATCCCGCCCACTGGGGAATAGCCAAAAGTCAATTCCACCTGGTGACTGTTTCAAATGCAGCCAAAGGAGACACTGGTCCCGCTGCTGCCTCAACAAGCCATGGCTGCCTGCCGGCAGACTGGCCTCTGGAAGTCAAAATGCTCCCAAGCAGGTTTGTCCTCTGTGCCCAGTCATGGAGGTTCAACCAGGCTCAACCAGGAGCCATAGACACTTCCAGCCTTCCAGCTCTTTGGCCTGGCAGAGGACAAATGGCTCCTTGATTCAGCAACCTCCACCACCCTCGCCCAGCCTAGGGTAACATTGCAGGTCTGTTTTGGCCTCACACTGGGGTCTCACAATCATATCGCCAACTTCTGTCTTGGGAGACTTCAGATGCCTTCTCAGTTCTCTTCATATGCAGGAGACCAGGCCCTAAGCCTGAGTCCTAGAGTTGCTATTGTCAGATCTAGACACAATATATCTTGTTGCCAGACTCAAGAAACAGGCTTAAATAAAACCTTTTACCATCCCTTTATTTAGCTAAAGGACAATGTTCAAAGCAGTCTCACCTATGTCTCATGGTAAATAACTAGTTACAAAGGCTGCCCTCAAAAAATATTGTTTGAGGGTCTAAGAAAGTGTCTTGAGGTTGATAAATGCCAGTTATACATGTTTGAGAGTCTAAAAAATGTTTTAAGGTTGATAAATGCAAGTTATAAAGGTTGCAAGGTCTAAGGTGATTTAAGGTATCCCTAACAGGTAAAAGGCCTTAACATTTCCTCCCGTTGCCATGCTACTGTTACATTGACTGTCCAGAGCTTTGACCTTTATCAGTAGAGCTCTGGTTTATTAATCTAACTTTAATACAAAAACATCCCACTATGCCACCCACTATCATGGTTCCAAGCTCAAGATTTTAAATCCCCATAATGTGTCCTTATACTAAAGGTTAAGATCAAGTGAGTTTTTGTCCCTTCTACTTCACCAAAGGCTTCTGCCTTTTAAGAGCTCACCTTGAAGAATGCTTATACTGTTAACACACATGTGTGTGTCTACTGCCTTTTCTACAATGTATATTTCAGTGCAGATTGCAATTATGATGCTAACATGTCTAAAGTTTTATCTCCTTCATAAAACTTAAAAGAATTCTTGTAAGCTGCAGAAAATCCACCTCTCTGGTCAACTGGGCTCCAGATAAGTACTGCACTTATTGCCTATCTCAGAAGGTGGGATTCCTGCCCTTTCCCTGGTTTTGGGACTTCCCTTTCCTGGCTACTTGATTGCTACTTCTACAGGTAACACTGGCTGGACTGGTGAGTTTCCCTCATTGGCCAACCACTGGATTGGTGAGTTCACCTCATCTATCAGCATAAAACATCTCTCTTGGTAGGGGAAGCTTGACTGTTCAGTGTCCGGCAACTTCCTACTATCTTTTGAGACAAAGCACCCCTCACCCCAACCACAGTCTTCACTGGCTACGGTTGACCCTTTTTGCTGACCTCCATTTAGGACTTCCTATTTCCCTTAGGAGAGATGTTTTTTCCCCTCTACATGCACAGTTCCTCCCTTCCCCCCACCAAGCTCGCCTACAAAAAATCTAGTGCTAGTTAAACTGTGCCTCCTTGGGCAGCTGTGCCCTTGGTCTCTGGCCAAAGCTGATGAGCTGTTGGATCAGGTAGGACCATTTCTGCCTATCTATATGTTTCAGTATCCTACCAGACACAGATGTTTTCTATATCTACAACAGCACCAAAGCAGCTACCACAAGTGTTCCAGTCTGACCTTGCAGACTTCCATCAGGCTGGACCTGCACTTTCCCTCCCAGCCATGATGTTCTTACAGACCCTGGACAACATCAACACAGCCTGTTCTTCCTGGGCTTGGCCAGAATATTTCAGCCTTTTGACCTCCCTACAGCACCCCCAGTGTCAGCAGGAAGTAGCCAGAAGAGAATCTATGCCCTTTACTCACTTATTATTAACAAAAGGCTGGAATGGTGTGCTTCAGGATGAGGACAAGCAGCTCTAGGTTCTCCCAGTGTTCCTCAGTCCCTACCTTGCATGGCTGTCAACCCTCTACCCTGAACTTTCCAAGACAGGGGCTTCCCCTCCTTTTGACCGTGTAATCTGGCCTTTTGTTGCTATTATTTCTTCTCTCTCTCTTAACCCCTTGGATGACACCCAAGAGCTGCTTCCAATGAACCTAAATTTATATACTTTAACTTACCTTACATGGGAAGCAGCCCAAGTTTCTCATTTTTTAATTTTAGAAAAAGGGGAGAATGTTAGTGTTTAGGCACCTGCTTCTGGGTTGCCTAGCAACCTATGATGCTATCATGTGCCACTGGCCAGGTGGCCACACCTGGCAGGCATCGTTACTTTGCTCCTTAAAAGGATCAACCCGGTACTTTGTCTCTCTCTTGGCCTCTCTTGCCTTCTTGCCCTCTTCCCTTTCTCTTCAGGGCACCCCCTTTCTTCCCTTATCATGTCTCCCTCTCTCCCCCCCCTCCATCTCCATCTAATGAACCTCTTTCATATAAGGTCTGTTGTGCGCCTCATCATCATTATTTAATTTGTCCCAACAGTGTTGCCTTTCAGCATGTCACAATTTCCCCGTCCGTTTCATCAGTTACATCACAGGGATGGCATATGAAAGGGATCTTGCTGGTAGCTTTTAGATGGAGTGGGAACCAAAATATGGGAACCTGGTCTGGTCTGAATCAGTCACCTTGACTTACCTTCGCAGTGGGGGAGACATTTTTGAGGTAAGTATTTCTAGGCCAGAACATGCAGCCAAGTACTTAGCCATTTATATTAATCTCTCTGACTCACTCTTAAATGAGTACTTCTCATGACCCTCATGACCACCCCATGCAAATTAAGTGTTAATTGATAATGATCCTACTGTGAAGATTCAAACTGAGGCCGAGGCACTCTAATGTCAGTATGCCTGCCTCGTAACTTGGTGCCAGGTAAGTGGGGGAGTTCTTGGCATTAGACTCTCTGTGATCTCTACAGATCCCCGAGTCTCCTTTCATGTGGGTCAAAAACAAATGAACTATTAGCAAGAAACAGAACATTAAAAACAGTAACACAATCTGTTTCCTTTAGTTTATTTTTTATTTGAACATCAAATATGTGGGGAAGATGGTTTACAGGTGCTTGAGCATCCCATTGGATTCTTCACTGTTTCAAGGTGCGAAAGAGGCTTACAGGTGTGTTTCATTAAACAAAGCAAGCTGAGACGAAACAGAATCACATCAATAGTAGAATGCATCAGAAGTATGTAGTAATCCATCAAACACAATTGGGCATCTGTGCCTTTCCTCAGAAAACAAGAGCTCCACACTGAAGAATATGTAGTGCACAAAAAGCATTGTTTGTAAGCTGTGAAAGAACATAAACTGGCATAATGTCACTTATTAATTCAAGTCTCTATGACCAACGACCTCTCTGTGGGGCAAAGGGGTCCATGTCTCAGGCACCTGCTCATGGGACTGTATGTTATTTCCAGGGTGCACAGCTCTGTAAAAAGACACTAAAGATGGGCTTGGAACATGGCAGCATTTACATATTTTAAAAGTTCAGGCACATTTGGATGCTATAGAAAGAAAAAAGCAAATAGAAATTTTTCTTAAGTCTCTGAAAAACAGTGCAAAATTGAAGTGCCATAATTGAGACAGCAATCACTTAGAAAACAAGTTTAAAGGACTTTAAAAGAGACCACACTTTAATTTACATGGAAAAGATATGAAGCTGGAAATAAAGCATACTCGTGCTAATGAAAAGGCGGATATTTGGGACCACAGTTAAATTTGTTTGCTCCAGTTGAAAGAGAGTAAATTTTCACGGAGTTAGTTTAGGAAGTGTGCAGTGGAAGCCGGATCACCCTCCAAGACTTGCACCAAAGAGAATGATGGTTGCCTTGTGCTACTGTATGACTCTGTTTGCCTTTAAAAGACTTAGGTTCCCCAAGCAGATATGACTGAGACTATTAGACATTACTATGGTCCTAGCCATCATTCTCAGTATCCACGATACATCTCAGAGTTGCAAAGTATGAATAGGAAGAGATTTGTAATTGAGTTCATGCAGGGATATGCATAACTATAAACCAATGGCTGGAGTCAATGACCTTTCAATGTACAAGACTCCAAAGTGTGGACACCACAATGTGATTAAAAGGAAATTATCAGTAAGTCACTTACTTGTTCAGCCCCCAAAGGCATGAGATATGGTATGGAAAAACATATCTGCAATGTTACCAGGGAAATCTATCAAAGACGGCACATCCTTGGAGACTGTATTTTTGTCACCTACATTGATATGGTTTTCTCTTTGGATGACCAGAATCAAATCAGCAAGATAAGCAATGGCTAAAAGAAACTTAGGCAAACCTCTTGCTGTATTATTCTTTGGATTTCACTGCTGCTGCCCACTCTTCCTCAGCACTCAAGCCACCATTTTGAAAATGGCTACCAATGGAACTAGGTGTTATTTTATTACAGTGCAGACAGAAGTGAAATTTTGAAATGTGGGGCACAGTCAAAGTGCCAGAATAATTTCCATACATTTTATTCCCATTTCCCCCTTCCTTTGGATTCCTAGATCTACCTACCTACCTACCCCATCGTGACTCTCTAGGTAGATCATGACATTCAAACTGTAAATTGCCTCCAGGTGAGGGGAAATAATGGGTATGACTCTCTGGCATGCCCCCAGTACCCCAACACAGCAGCAGCTGAAATATATCAGCTGCTCAAAATTGGCACTTCAGATAAGGGTAAAAAAAAAGATTTTCAAACCTTGTTTGAAATTCTTGGGCTAACACTTCAGCTGTCTGATGTTCTCTGCCCATTTCAAATGTATTATCATAACATGAATACAAACACAGTAGATAGATAATGTAAGACCCTCCACTATAGTATCGTTTGGATTTAGCTGGTATTACATCATCTAAAGTCCTAGAAGTTTTTTTTTTAATTTTTGTTTTTGTAAAAGAAAATCTCAGTATAAACATTAAAAAGAACCCACTGACCCATTAGCTACTGTCCAAAAATATTACTACTGATATTTTGGTAAAAGCAAAATTAGCTGCCCTGAATAATTTTCCTTATCAGGCATAATCTCTGCTACATAAGATTGTCTATCATTCAACACCCAACAATAGACATATGGATTAGTGCTATTTTGTCTACTGTGGATACAAAAGTTGATATGAAATGTGATCTTCATTTAAATGAAAACCACCAGGCTTTAGGCATTAGTAACGGCATACATGACGGTAGCTTGAAAAGTCTACAAAAAAACTAAATATTTTCCTTGTTTTTTTGCAATGTTAACCCAGTCAAATTAAAATGCAGAACAGAACTATTACATTCAATTGTCTGATAAACAAGCAATTCAATTTCAAAAAAATATATATTATACTATATAAGGTGCTTCTTAAACAAACACAAACAAAAGAATTATATTCTTAAACATATTCTTAAAGCAGATACATAAAAATGTCCCAGAATTTGATGCACAAATATGAAAAAAGAAGAAAAAATATTGGCCCTCCCAGCTTCCCACTTCTTTGGTAGTCACTTAACTGGGAGACCAAAAATTAATCGAACCCTCTATTCCAAATAGGACTGACCAAGAGAAGCCTATCCATTCACCTGGGCTGTTGGCTAACACATCACATCTCAATAGAGTTCAAATTATAGATCATAAAGTCAGGGGGGAAAAATGGACTTTCATTTTGGTTAAGAAAAGGAAATAATTCTTAGTTGCACTAGAGAGGCCAAGACCCCATAGACTTTGGGGTGGCTGTGGTTAGAGTTAGCCATTCTTTTTGCCCCCTTGGCCAAAAGATGCTCATGGGACAATTCTGGTCTCATTCTCTGGCTCATAAAGTATAAGAACATGAGCCACTGGGGCAGGGGAGGAGGGGTTCTCCCCAAGACACACCAGCTGATATTTGTTTGGATGAGTTCTGAGTAGTTAAGGACACTCTAGTCTGAGCAAGTCCTCAGCAACTTGAGTCATGAGTGCTCCAAGACCTATCCTCCATGCCTCCTGCCAAGCTGCTACAAGAACTATAGGAGCACAGGAATCTACAGTTGCCTCTTTCGATCAGGGTCATACCTGAAATGTAAACACAAACAGACAGTGGATCCCAGGTCAGCCCCACTGAGAATGGTGGAGCCTGAAATGCACCCGTGGGAAGTTGCTGCCTGTGGCGTGCACATTTCTCCCAGTTTTTCCAGTCTCTCCCGTACTCTCCTTCTCGTTCATGCTTCTTCTGATTCACAGTCATTGTACATTTATTATTTGTCTCCCTTCACTCGAGAATAAAACTAAGCAAAACAAACTGTATCACCAGGGTACAGGCTCATTGCAACTGCCCTTAGCTGCTCCACTGGAACAATTGGGGGCAGTTCCCATGGGGGAAGAGACAAGGAAGTATCCTGGGCTGCTGAATGCTGGATTCCGAAGCACAGGTCCCCAAGCCACCTTCACTGCAAGCCCCAGAGGCAGAAGGATATTAGAAGACGAGAATCAAAGAAAATCAAAACACCCTACAGCCTTCATGAAGGAGACTAATTCATATCAGGGTGTTAACTGACATTGACTTGCTGGTTACCGAAAGTCATGGGAAGCAAGAATTATCTAGAACTCATGGCCTGTGTATAGTGCTTGGCAGTTGACACTTTAGAAACCAGAAAGTGCAGTGTATTAAGTGGACATAATCTTGACAAGTAGGGGAATCTTTCTTTCCTGTGTGAATTTTATATTCCTATAGAGGCTCAAGATTTCCCTTTAGTAAAGTCACGTGTCGCTATAGGACTACAGGTTGGTGTTATAAAGAACCCATGAGATAGCTTTCACTGTGGCTTCACTGACGGGAGCCACTTCAAGGTTTACTAATGCTGCTAAGGCTTACTCTTGGAGCCTTTACAAAGTGCTTCTCAGAGGTGAAATGTATACTCTCTAGGCCTGGGTCTCAACAAGTAGCTTCAATGCGGTCATGTCAATTCAGTCATGATGACTATAGGAATCCTCACACTTAGTGATGTAGCAATAGGGGGAGAGAGCTGTTGCCGAAATTTAGCCCTGGAATCCCTTTTGGCTGTTCCCAATAGAAGACGTGCCACTAAGAACTGAGCAAGCAAATGAACAGCCACTCATACTAGAAAGCCGCTGACGGTGGGCGCATGCCAGAGTGTGACACAGGAGACAGAATTCGGCTAAAGTGATACATGACATGGGTAAAAATGCTTCAGGGATTCTCAGAACCATGGGGGAGCCGGGGAGCTCTCAGATCGTGTTGGGGAAACTCTCCGCTTCTGGAGGGATGTAGTAGGTCTGTACGGAATGGGCTGAAGTGGGGCTAGTGGTGGTCAGCTGGCTGTGGTTGGGCTCCTCTTGGGGGACTCCCATGCGACTAACTGGCGCATGTAGGCGGTGGGCATCCAGCATCTCCAGCAGCAGGTCGTAGAGGGGCACGACATTCTTGCATTTCATGTTATAGAGATGCTCCATGCCTTTGTCACTGGAGGAGAAGGGACACAAAGGGAGCCAGGTTAGACAGCAGCTGAAGCCTAGGATGGCTGAAATTCCTAGGAGGACGAAGTAAGAGAAACTCCAAAGACACTTGTGAGCCATTTTTTTTTTTTAATGCCTCTGAGGATTCATCTTAAGATGATCTCTGTAGAGGCTTAGTGACTTCAGAGACCCCAGGTAGGGACTCGTGTCCATGAGTTTTTATTTCCTCCACCCTATATGGGTCCCCTACCCCCACAATCATATTCTTCCTCCAGCTTCTTTCACTTGGTTTCCTGTGCATTTTCCTGGTTAATGCTGAATGTCAACTTGACAAGCTCTAGATGTCTGTGGATGTCTATGAGGTCGTTCCTAGATTGCATTAATTAAGATTGGAAGACACATCCTAACTTTGGCCTGGGGACACACCTAAGCTTTTCAGTGGCTTCCTGTAATATTCAGGAATTAATATAATATTAACAAAATCAACTTTTCTATCCAGGCTCTCTGAGGACCAAATGACCTGCCTTCACCTCCCTCACAGAGAACACCCAGTTTGTCATCCTGCACTGACTCTCTGTCTCTGGTCTTTGAGTTGCTCTTTAATGGACCTAAGACTCGTGGAGACCTAGGGAATCTGAACATGCTGCTCTCTTTTTCCTGGATGCATTTCTACAGAATCTTCAAAGGCTTCTTGTGACCAGGAAACCTTTGTTGTCCCATGGCAGTGGTTCAGCCTTATTGCACAGGCATTTCTTTTCACATGCCCCATCTTCTACCATAGCCCAGAAGAAGCTCACAACAGGAAATGAGGGAGAAAAGGCAAGAGAAGGATGTAGACAAATGCCCGCTCTTTCTTTCTTTCTTTCTTTCTTTCTTTCTTTCTTTCTTTCTTTCT